CAAGCAAAATCTTGTTTATTTTTAGTAGGGTTTTTATGACGGAGTTCAATAATTGACCTCGTGAAGTGGTACGTTACGAAAGAGCTCTGAAGCAATCAATTAAAGATCAGATAATCTAATTACTTGGAAATGCGCAAGGTCGGAACGGAGTGGTGTGGTTGCTAAGGGTGAATAAATCGCTTCCCAACGCAGTCTTTTCGCTTTCTTCGAGCTTGATTACATGCTTTCCAAACTTAATTGAATACCTCCTCAGACCAACTGTCTGAAGGTTTATTGCTTCTGGAGTTTATACAGTTCTTAGCATATAATAATGCTTTATACTAATGCAGTTAAGACTGCCGTGTCATTGGCGCAACCTTAAAAGGATTTGCTTGAGCTCAGAAAAATCTTCGTACTTCTCTTCATCATTGAATGTTTTCTATACGATTTATCCATAAGGGAGGCCATTAAGTTCCAAAGTTTCGTTATGCCTCTGCCCATGATCTGATTATATTTTTCAAAAAAGACTTTTCATAGTTATCGACTTTTTCTCATCCATTCATCTGGGCATTTTCAATATTGTCTTCTTTTTTTTTATATTCTCTTTAGGCCTTTCCCTCCATTACTTGCAAGGAAGTGAAGCAATGCGTTCACATGGAGTTGGCAACATTACAAAGGAATGCGTGCACGTCCGAGACGAATGATCGATGCACACCTGAACGAATACCATTCTTTTTTGGGAGTATCTGACGCCACGGCGATCTGAACAGACCAACTTCACGGCTGTTGGTGCTCACCTCCCTGAAACCACTCTCTGTTTTGTACGTTGTTTGACCAAATTTATGCGACTAACATATCCGCTTTTCGGCCTTATCTATGCTACATTAGTTTAATACTCAATCGATGCTGTCTTGCGGTGATTTTGGGTGAATTGCGCGACGTAGTCTCGTCGCGCACGGGCGGAGTACGTACACATGTCGTGTACAGTACGTGGACGACAGCGACCCTGCTTCGCTCCGACACTTCAAATGCGTTCCTGAACCGATGGAGACCGGTTAACATTCAACCTTCCGGATTCATGTCATCATTGCCCGACCAGTTGCCTGAAACGTAATTCGAGCAACTCGGCGCTCCACAAGGTTAGTGTTTGAATGATTGGGCCGCGGTGTTCGCGCTGCGTATTTTATTGTAGCACACTTACTCACTACTTACTTTATTTACATGCAGGCCGGCATGTGAAATGGGTAAACAAAAAGTAATCATTAACGCAATACAACATAACGAAACGAGGAGGAATAGAAAAAGAACGAAACAATGCAAGTCAAACCTAATAGCAAAGCTGGGATTGATTGGGAAACGATCACTTGACACAAAGAAGATGACGAGAAGACCGGCTTTTGAATTTGAGACAGAGTCGGTCGGAATTTCAACTCTGTTGCTCATTTTCAAGTACATCAGTCCCGGCACGAACCGTGGAAGACTGCGCCAACCGAAAGTACGCGAGGCTGTCGAAAAGTCAGCTTGAGTTCTTCCCCTCTAGTCTTGACTGTATTTGCTCATAAAATTCAGTAGCTCCTCAATTTTACTGTTCGTTGAGGATATTGTTAAACCATTATGATGTAGTTTCTCTTCCCTCTGGGTAACTAGAGCCGGTCTTTTTCTCTACAAAGAAAGTTTCTTCCTCTTGGTTCAATGGGTGAAACGCAGTCATTCTTTCTGAGGCATTTCTCTGAAGAGGGTGGGATGTAAGCGCTGTTGTGGTGGAAAAAGAGGCGAATAGTTTCATATAAAAAAACTCGTTTCTTCCAATGAAATGGTTAATTTGAATTCCTAAATCTTAAGTTAATTTATAAATCTAACGGGTTGGGTCTTCGGCCATCAACCGAAAACAGGAGGCGGACGGGGTCAAAGTGCGGCTGGGTGATTGAAGTGGTTGCAGAGTTGCTGGGAAGGGGTCAGATTTTACTGTACCAATCAATTTCGTTTGGCTCACTTTCGCCGGGCAGGGTCAAAAGATATTTAAAAAGATTATCGAGAAACGATAATTTGGATGATCTTTCATATAGATAACGGATGGATCAAAGGCGCAAAAGTCGGGCTCAATGAGGGATATTGTGCGATTTTGAAACTGAGTTATTAGAGATTGCGAAGTTGGAACGACAGTGCAGAGAAACAAACGAGAAAAACCGTCTGACAAGGCCGTTACAGAAACCCTCTCCCCCAAGCTGGTTTCACAAGTATTATAGCCAGCCACCGCACCATTTCCGGAAGTAGGCGGTCTGGATTGGCCAGCCGGCCCTTGGATTGAAAACCGAACGCCGCCGGCCTTAACGGGTTTTTCAAGGTGGGAAGTTGCTGCAAGTGTGGGCAGCTACCACATACAACCTCCAGACACCGGAAATTACTTCTCTAGCGTGCCTTGAGGCCCGACCTATTGCCTGGTAAAGAATTGGATCAATTTAAATGCCTAACCTCGGCAAGATGTTAGCCGTTTTTCCGACACTACGCTTATTACTTTATTTATTCTGGTTGCACTCTTCCTAACGAGGAAAGTCTTTCAGGGTGTGCCAAGCTTTTAGAAAACGGTCTTTTGCATGATATAGGGGCGCTTGGGGAACCACAGAACCATGGTTAAGTTTTTCTGAACGGCTCTCTGAATACCAGAAAAGGGGTCCATAGTTCGATTTCTCGTGGTGACAAACTTTTGCATTTCGAATAGACGTTCCAAAATTCGCGCAGAACGGATTTAGCATGAAAAATTAGTGCCACTTCATGATTAGGACCGTCAGTGAAGCTTACAAATAGGCTTTTATCAAAAAACTGGTGAGAAAGGTGTGACACCACAGTGGGGCTGCTTGGGGATTCGCTAGCGAATCAAACGAATGGAACAGAAAGTTGTGAAGTGAAATCTAAAACTTTCGACCCAGGCGGGACTCGAACCCGCACCTCTTTCTCGGATGGGTTTCTTCTGTTTTGGGCATCTGGCAGTTGTTTTATATGGAAAACAGCAGCCAGCGAACAAAAGTTACTGACTGGCGGCATGAAATTGAGAAATCGAATTTCATGGCTTGCATTTATTGAATCGGCGTCGTTCCTGACCGAACCACTTCCAAATCAGAGCGTCGCGAAGAAATTTCATGTCAAGCATATTTCGTCCAGATATGTATCATTAGAAATATTAATTATTTATTTATATATTTAATATTTATTATTATTATTATTAAGTAAGTCAGCTCTTCTGGATTGTTATAATAACAATCAGCTGTTTATACTACTACTTTCCCTTCAACAATTGTTTTGCTGAAGCCACCACAGTTAAGCCCAAGCCGCTTTGAAATAAACTTGGGCTCCGTCGATCGATCAAGGAAGCATATGTAAACTTGTTTAACTTATTCTTAAACCTCTGGCTGACCACGTATTTGAAAAATAATTTTTATAAATAATTTTATAATAATTTTTTTTGAATTCCGTGAAGTGGCTAAATAATTTGTCAGCGTGGATTAATGGCAGCTTCTTATACATATTTTCGAGACAACGTCATTTTAATGGATAATTCCTTTTTTGGCTTCACCCTGACTATTTCCTTATCCATAATTTTGGGTCAATTTATAAAGCAGTGTTATGTGAGTTTCAAAGGAGAAATAACAGAGGGATGACAAAGAATTGCATGAAAAAATGAAGACAAGAACAAGGAGCTGAAATGCGCAAACGGAAAAAGACTGGAATGCTGGGTAAAATCTGCTCTAATGTTTCTTTTGGACCTAGCTGACTTCCTCGATCCTTCTCACTTAACTCGTTGGAAGCTCAAATTCTTGCCTGTTAGGTAAACTAGCATATTTTGCTGAATTAAAGAGAACACAGGGATTGAGAATTCGAAATACCCATCCCGCGTGTTCAAAATTCATAAAAAAGATTATTCGAGCGTACAATCGTTTTTCTGCGAAAAATTTACCGCGACGTTTTGCATGAGCTGCGTACAGCAATTATGACAGAATATTTTATCTATTATATTATTTATTTATTTATTTATTCATCGTTATTCATTATTTATTTATTTCATTTATTAACCACTTGTCCCCCCTGTAATGCTCAAAGAGGCATAGCGAAGTAAAATCAAATGAATGTGTTGCAGTCTGATGAGCACACTTGCCCGAGACGAAAAGTGCGGTCTAGCCCGCCTGGCGAAAGTTTTGTTCATAACATAAGCATACTGGGACTGCCATTCTTTCGCAGTAGATGGAGATACATGGGCTACGAGAAAGGGAAACACAAAAAAACACCTCGTGCGTGCAGACCCCTCCCTTCTCAACTAAAGGAGGGTCTGGCTCTTGGCACCCAATCCCGAGCATTCCGAGCCGTGCTTCAAAGTAGGCGAAGAGCTCTTTGGTTGCCACAATGCCATAAAGGTGAATCACAGGCCTTTGATTCATTTTCGTCTAGGTAGTGTTTTTCATAGAACAGACAACTTATTTTCCTGAACTAGAAACGTCTAAAATAAACTTTGGCGTGATAACGTGACTAATCTTTGACCAATGCAAAAACATGGTCTATCAGACTCGGCTTGCCATTTCGCCTCTTTTTGAAAATTCCCCACTTTTTCTGTACGTGATCGAACATAAGGAAGAAGCATGTAAACTTAGCATGTTTAAGCAGTAGTTGCCCTCTATTGAGCGCACTCATTTGAGTGTATAAATAAATAAATAAACAATATAATAAATAAATAAACCTATAATACCATACAATAAGACAAATGATGATTGCAACAAGTGAACTCTACAATAGGCTACTCATACCCACCACTTAAGAAAACCATCGACTCAAACTTGGAATTTTGTGACCCCTATTCTTCTTGACGAACCTACGAAGCATGAAAAAGTAGACCTAATAGGTCTCGAAAGCGTCAAAGCTGCTCCAAGAAAACATCCAACACTCTCACAGTAGCTTTTGGTGTTTTATGAAGCATTCCAAAGAGTATTTTCACGATTGCTCGCTAAGATTACAGCGCAGAAATCAAAGTGGATATGTTTTGGTTGACTGCCTTGTGCAAAAAGCGAGCAGAATCTCGCGAGAAATACGTCTTCAAAAAAGGCGCATGCACGCCGGTAAGACGTACCCACGTCGGCACACCGTATGTTTTGCCGAGACAGAAGGCGGAGGCATAAAACGAGGTACATATGGGTCGTGTTCGGCGGAAACAAAAGAACCCCGGAAGATTCGAATTAGGAAAATCTTCACTTAAAAAATTGAGGAGACTTCAAAAAGAGGCGTCTGTTATGAACAGCGTAGTAAACTATAAAATAGACAAGCCGCCATCCTCGGATGAGTGAGAGAGTTTAGGCCGGAGGGATTTCGCGAGCGATCTTCCACCAACAGCTACGGTCCCATTCCGGCTCGACTCTGGCGCCCCAGGAAAGAGGTCCGATCGTCCTGGAGCTTAGACCAGGCAAACTGCGTGAAATAATATGGTCGGTAGTTCTAGGACCATCTAATTGCCGCCCCAATAAGAAATCAGGTCGGCATTGCTAGCAGGTCCTTAGCGATCTAGTACTTCTATCCAACACTCGAATCCTTGCAACGCCCTGAGTCAAAATGCTCATCCTCGTGCTTGTATGCTCCACGCCGGCCACGCTGGCATTCTTCCTTTCGTTACTATTGACTGGAATATAGGAACATCCTTCGGCAGTTGGGCGCTCCGGTCTCTGCACCCCAAATGTTTTCCGCGCTGATTTCAGTCAGGGAAGGGGGTACGTTAGTGGACTCAATACGCTCAGCATTTCTCTCCCAGCACCCTCCCCCCCCTAACCAACACAGCCTTTGGAGTGTGCTAGCGCAAAAACTCCATCTCCTCTTCTAGCTCACTCCACGAGCGATAACACCCCTAGCGCTCAGTTTCCTAGGTGAGAGGACATCCAAAACACGGCATCAAACCGCGGATAGATGACTTCAAGACCCAAGCCAGGATCGAATAGAACATCAGGGAGAAGAAGGGTTGCTCACAATTCCTAACTAAGCCAGCACGCCCTTGCCGCGTCCAACCATGGTGTAGTACTGACCTTTGCTATGAGTGAAAGTTCACACCTCAGCATTCAATGGTCCCCCTAAGAGCATTAAGCACACCATTCTCTCTCTACCCGCCATCAGATTTGATCCCTGTACATCCAAAAGGCCAACTAGCATATGTTCCTCTTAACACAGGAAAGGTGTCAAAGCGACGGAACTACTTTTCTGGGTGGCACTATATGGGTTCCTATAGACACACCCATTAAACTTCAGCGCAAATGAAAACTAGTAGAAAACAAGCAACGGCCACAGCAAGCGATTCACCGCTAAAAGTACCTTGCCGAACTGTCAGCGGAAATGGTGTTTTGCCACATCACCAATGTTACGATAACAATGATTATCAATGTTATCTGTGGTGTTTCAGCCTGGCGATTCCGCTCTTCAATTGTACAAAAGTCTCGAGAAAGGCGGTGGGGAATTCTTGAGTTACCTCGACAGTGATCTGACGTTGGCCGATCAGAATGACGAATTTAGTGAAATGAAAAGCGACAGGTACGTCTGATTCCCTTGAAGTTCTTTTGAATTTTCAATCATTAATAAGTGAAGGAATTCGGCTGGTCTCGGGTTAACATAATTTCTGACAGTTTTTTCTTCAATTTTTGCAGTAGCTGATTGATTCCATGTGCCAATTGAGGTGGTTGGGGGAGGAGGACCACGCGGGGAGGCCGTCCTTCAAGCGCGATGGAACTAAGCATGAGCCTGTGAAGGGGTATGTGAGCTGTGAACATTATGATTTGTGACTTGTGGCACATTTGAGTCGCCTTCTGAGGCTCAGTGCCATTGCGCTTGACAGACGCCTGGCCCCGCGTGGTCCTCCCCCCCCCAACTCACTTGAGTCACCTGATTACCATGTGCATATGAGATGACGTCATTGAGTCCCCATCCGTTACCCCCGTTACCCCTCATACGATCGCGGGGTACGGTTCGGAATGGAGGGGCGGTAAGAGTATGATCCCGACTTGCGAGTGACACTACACAATCTGCCCTGGGCGAGAAACTATATAATACATAACTGAAAGCTGGGCAATGAGGCTGGCAAACATGTTCGTGAGTCGGGTCAATTGGTAGCACTCACTGCCGGTCGAATCAAAGGTGAAAGTTCGAGTTCGGTAAGCAAACCACGGCGCTCATGTCTCCTGGAGAGGGGGCGCGGACATGCGAAGCGAGTGAGGGCCAGGCTTATTGTGCTTGGACTAAGCCCTAGTGAGGGGAGGGCATCCTGTGAGGGCAGGTGTGGGTTAGGTTCATTTTCATCTGGCGTTCTCACCCTTAGCTGGGCTGTATGCTAGTCCTTCCCGCAAGCGGGGACGCAAGGTTTCCTTCAAATTTGATTTCGCTTTTGACGTATGTAGGTTCTTCATTTTCAATGCAGTTTACTTTACCCTACTAAAGAGGAATGGTATGTGGTGGCCTTTTATCAGGTGAATCCAGTTGGGTAGAAGGGAAATTTAAAGGGATTTTCGTCCCCTGATCCCTTCCGAGTGAGGAATGGCATCCGGTCCCTGGGCTTAGTCTAGGTCCCATCCTATAACCACATACCATTTGTCGTGTCCCGCCTCCCCCACCCAAAGATGAGCGCTTATCCTTAGCCATTACTCAACGACCTCAACTATTGTCCAAACAAACAAACTTTCGTGTTCACCCTTCTCTCCCGCCCATTCTGATAGATGATGTTCCCCAGGCAGTGATTTCGGGTATGGGTGATAATTGTCCCGTGATCTTTCAGATCATGACAACGATTCCTGTGACATCTCATTTCAACGGCCCGACCATATGGAAGATTCGTATTCGTACGGACCGCGAAAAATCCAACCATAACTCAATCAACTCATCATAGAATGAGTAATGCGAGACCCCCAGAAATGTTAAATATTAAGAGGAATTAAGAATAAAGTAAGAGTACGGTGATCGAAATCTCTATGGGCATCCGAACTGTTCGAACTACTGAAGAGACTTATGCACTCATAACACAGTCAGGCGAGTAATCAGGGTCAGAGAGTGGAAGAAATATCTGCGCTGTAGGAGATCGCTAAAATAAGAGGTCGAAAAAAGAAATGGAAAAAGGCTCCACGGCTTGAGCTGATCCACTCATTTTTGTAATACACCATGCATTCGACTTTCCTCCAGAGTCGTAGTAGCTTTGGAATGCGTAATGGTTTAAGCTATAGCGAAATGCGAGAGCGAGCTGTGCAAGTCCCTGTATTTCTCTCCCAGGCGAGCCGAACAATAATTATCCAAGAGAGTCGGACAATAATTACCCGACCCGGCAGGGATGTAAGGCGTGGTTGGTCTCAATTGGTTCTGGTTTTATTATGTCCTTATAATTGTGGAGGGGCCACTATCTCTAACGAGTCCATGAACTCCAAACCGCTCTTTCGTGCATTCTGGCTACATCGTTCAGAAATTCCTTCCCATGGCAGCGGTAAAATGACACCTGTAAGCGAAATCGAGGAGCTTGAAGTGGGCAGCTGATAACTCCTGTAAGTAGCAGTACCTGCAGCTCTTCATATGAACGCTTCTAGGTGATTGACGAATACATGGCGCATCCGATAGGATAAAAGTTGAGTGCTTAATATTGAATGGATGTGACGAATATCATTGCTTTAAGCTGGTAAATGAGAAGTACTACCCCCTCTTGAAGATTGCGCCGGGAATATTAGAGTTCATACGTTTCCAGATTCTATGGATTCGGGCTTATTTGGTGAGACCTCAAAAAAATCAGTGATGAATATGCGAAAAGCAACTTTGACGCTACCTTTTTACATGCCAATCAAGGATTTTATGAAGTGATTTCATAGGGAAGAACCCTATGACAGCTGAGAATCCTACAAGAACTTCTAGGGATTTCAGTCAGTCAGGTTGTTGAGGGTTCGGGTCGTGGTGCGATTCGTGAACCCCCCGTTGATCGTCGCACTTATCCTTTCGCCTTCTCGTCGTAGTGACTCTAAACCGCGACACAATATGCAATGGCCGCAGTAGTAAAATAGTCTGCGGTAACCGCAATTCATGGTCAAATTGTTGGTGGGATTGGGAAGTAGGCAGTCATAAGGGCCAGGATTACACTTATTTCGAAGTAGCCCACAAGGAAGACCTGAGAGTTTTCTGATCGATTTATTTCTATGAAAAATAAGGAACCCGTTTTCATCGAGAGAGCTGAGGAAATTTGATATGTCGGACTCTCATTTGACTAAAAAGTCGACAAAGCAAACATCAGACGAGGGATTGGCCTTGAGTATAGGCAGGAAGGGCCGGTCATGGACATCTATCAAGGTTGTCTGAGCCATGGTAGAATAAGGCTCAGAGATTGCTGTCCCGATGCCACACCAGACGGATTCGACCGGTAGCAAGGAACCGAGTCAGGAAAGCTTCCGCAATTTCAGTTGTTCTACCCCTTGCTATCCCCCGTAAAATTGCCCATCTCAGGGATATACGGGAATTTCTGGCGATTTCTCGTTGGGCGTGGCCACCCGGCCACAACAATCGGTGTCACTCGCCCCATGGTGTCCCGTCGATTGCGATATTAGGCCATTTTCATATTCTCACGCACCCTCGGATCTACTACCCTCATCGTCTGCAACCTCGTCTCATCACCATGTCCTTCACAGAGTCCTACTCGTCCAGATATCCACCTCTATCCACTCGACAGGAGAAAGCCGTCTATTCGGCTGCTCCAGTGAAGGCCTCATTC